GTTATACAGCAGAGGTTCACCGATCATTCATTTTTGTGGCAGATTCTGATTTCTTTACGGCTGAATTGTCCAAAAGCTGATTTATTTTATTTTTTTTTAATATTTGCATTGCATTTGACTGAATTGTATATTCACTGGTCTGCATGTTTTCTCTGTCTTCCCTTGATGGGAGTAACAAATACCCAAATAGCGATTTCAGTATTTGAATGCTGGCAACTCAAATGGTTAACGGAGTGCTCAGGTATCCATGCACATCCCTAGTAGTTTTATTTAAGTAATAACGTAGCTCTACAGCAAAAACAACAATAATGATCAGACTTCTAAGGGTTAAAAAGATTTTTTTTGTGTGCAGTGTTAGGAGTATGTCAGAACTTTGGGTGTTTGGATCTTGCAGTAAGTGTAAGTGTATGTATATATATATATATATATATATATATATATATATATATATGTGTAGGTGACATTCAGGGTCACGGTGCCTTCAGAGAAAGCTTGTCCTCTTCATTTACACTGCAGTGCTGTGAGGAAGGCCAGACTTTTTCTCTGGCTCTTTGTCCACAGTGTTCCTGGGAAAGAACCAGTTCTCCTCCAGAACACCTGTGTTATTACTACAAGCCTGTGTAGAGGGGATTTCTGTACATCATAACTAAAGTGCTAAGAGGATTTCTTTAAGCCAACAAGTTGTTCATATCATAGCAGTATTGAATAATCACGCTTGTGCTTTTGGCCATGTGGACAGTCGGTACTAATTCAGATTTTTTTTGTTTAAGTATGAAGTAGTATTAGGGTCAGACTGGTAATTATTCACAGGAACTGTGTCTGGTTGGAGAGAAAAAGGTTTATATTGGCCATATTGGGTGATGCATAACATTTTGATGTTTATCATGTAGCCATGTACCAAACTCCTTTGGAAACATTGGACTCGTAGAGTAATACAGCTAATAATTCCACTTGTTTTAGAAAAGAGGCCAAGGGACCACTTAGCCTTGATTCCACCATGCATGGAGATGCCTGATATTCATCTTTGATTAGGATACTATCCTTAATATTGTATCATTCACTACCATTTCTGTTCTACCGGGATGAAAAAAATAGATCGAGGACAATACAGTAAAAAGCCACATCAGTTTGTGCATTATAGTGATTTTACCACAGTGATTTTCATTAATTAAAGTAAACAATCCTTCAACAAAGCACTATGTAGTAGACAGTGGTCGCCATTGTAGGCTGTGTTTTATGTATCTTGCAGGGGCTGACATTGCATATTTCCACATGCTCCTGGCCACAACATTTAACGTTTCGGTCGCTAAAAATACAGTGGCCTAAACTTGATCACTTGCCTTGGAGTTGTTTCCCCAAACGCATCTTAGTGTTCAGGTAATCTTAACTGGTAGAGAGTGTGTTCAGTAAAGCTCGCTCTACCATTTAAGTATGAACTTTCTACTAAGATGCTTTTAAGAATTTGCCAATTGTAACTACAGTAGCCACCATGATGGCATTTCTCTTGTTTTTGCAAGGCTTTTTAATAAATATTTCTATTTCTTTTGTTTTTTTCTTTCTAATGCTTGTTTGTTGATTTTAAATACAGTGTCTATGTAGTAAATGTTTCTATAATTCTGACCACAAATTTTTAATTTTGGCCCCAAGGTTCATTGCCTTTGTGGCCCTGGTGACCACTGCAGATTTATGTCTTTCTGCCCCTGCAGTATGCCCCTGAGTGTTTTATAATGATTTTAAATGTAGCTCAACCAAAAAGATTTTAGAATTGGAACCTCCCCCTGTCTGATAAAGAACATTTTAAAAGCGTTATTGCAAGTGATAATTTTTTCTTCCTATGCTATTATGACATCTTATCTTGGTGGCATAAAGCATCCCCTTTTATATCCGCTGTTTAAACTAGTAGTGGTCTAGCTTTGATATAACTTGGACAGACTGGGGTTCGTCAAGCTGTTTTAGCACATAGGAAGTTGGCATAGAAGTATTTTTTAAGTCAGGCATCTGCCTCTGGAGGATGTGAAGGTTTCGTTCTAAAAAGTTATTCCATGTTTTACATGTTGGTTTCAGGCTTTGAAGAGTCTGTTTCCCTGTGTTTTCTCCCACCTCATAAAGCTGATTATGTTGACTTACACTTGCCACCAGATTTACTGACTACTGTGGTGAAAAGAAAGAAAGGTTTAGATTTTTATCAGGGGGGGTGGCTGTAAATTACACAACACAGACGTCTTGTCTGCAGGATTAGCACCAAATAATTCTCAGATCAAACACAGTTTTATAAAGTGCTGTACACTCTTAAGGAAAAGGTTCCTGAATAGCTCTTTGCTTGGATGTGTGATTGTAGCAAAAATGTTTGTATGCGTTGTTGATTATATGGCAAATAAGGTTTTTCAAGCTTTTAAAAAGGTTGTGGACACTCTTGTATCTTATTTATAGAAATGGTTCTTCAAAAGAACAATCTATTTAAATATTCTTTAAGAAAACCAAAACTGTTATGTGTATGTAAATCATCACAAACAGTAGAGACTGTTGGGTTCGATTGCCTGCTCAAGCATGCACACCATGCTATACTAATAATACTGTGACTCTGTAGCATGCTTCAATTGTAAATAGGAGTAAATGATTCAGTGCCGCTACATGAAATAATTAAAATGTAAAGAAAACAAGCAATGAATAGTAATCAAAGTGCACTGCACTTGATGTGGGCAAGGATTCAAGCAGTCAGGAAAAACAGTAACTAGCTCGGTTAATGTTAGGTTTATTGGTAGTGCACACCATCATTATTACTGAACTTATTTAAAGCAATTCTCTAACAACTGAATGTTACCTGTATATTTGCTTCATTGCGCTAAAGTACTATGTTTAGAAAATGAACAATACTTCTTAAAAATTATATATATAATTTAAAGGATCACATAAGACATATTGCTGGCATTAAAACTCAAATGCTACAGCTAGCTTACGTTCTGCAGTGTCGTTCATGTCAGCCAAAACGATGGTTGCTGGCTTAAAATCCCAAAGATTCAAACAATTGCCAAAGATGTTATCACAGCCTCTCAAGTTTTACTTAATGTTTTCTAGTCTAATATGTAAATCAAACATTGAAAGGTACACTCATGGACATTTGAGCTAGTGACCAGTAGTAATAGGCAAATACAGAAGAATTTGCTGATATGTGAAACAGCAGTAACAACAGTAATATTGTTAATGATGCAATAACTCCTTTTGTACAAAATGAAAATGTAATAACTGTTCACTCTTTAGCTTAACTGAACATTTCTTATATAGGTACTTGTACAGAATTGGAAGTCAGAGCTGAAAACACATTTCAGACGTTGCTTTTAGACTGAAATCTTTTTGTTTTGAATGCGCTTATCCCTTAATTATGTCTATTTTATTTACATAAATTATTGAACAGTTTATTTTGTCACTTTAGCACATGTTTCTGTAGTAACTGTTTGGGTAGTGACAATTTTAGCTCATTTGAGCATGACTCAAAAATGCTAGCCAGTACATGACACATAACATTACAAAATTGTAGGAATTAATTATGTTTCAGTAGTGACATTTCTGAATGTTACACACTGAATTTTAGGCTTTGGGACACATTTACTTCAAAACAATGGAATCTAACTTCTCACCATGTGGTATTGAGGTTCAGGGATGCAGTCTCACTTCCTGCTTGAAACTCTGAAAAATGATAAATCTGTGTCTTTCAGTTTCATGTTAAAAGAAAGCAAAAAGATCTTAAAAAGTTTTTTAATTTAAGTTGAAATGTAGGGCTTAGTTTTGGGACAGCCAGTTCCCAGTAGAAAGTATTATAAATGGTTATCTTGTATATATTTCAGTAAATGCTTGAAGTTTAAATAGCGCATAACGTAATCACTGTAAATATCTAAGGTCTTGAGTGTTTTATTCATTTATCTGTTTTTTTTTATTTTTATTTTACTATGGGACCATAGTTAGAACCCTTTTAATTGTCCATATAAAATAATATATCACTGCTGTCGGAACAAAACCTTGTATCTCCATTTTTGACATTTTTCAGTTTTTGGCATAATTTGAAAATAACTATTACCCTTTACATTGTGTGTAAATTCCATGATGAATGGAAAAAACAACCCCAAATTAACTTGCAAAAAACTCTGGTTCCATTGACTTACGTTAAAAGTAAAGTATGTTTTTTTTTCCTTCTCCTGAAAAGTTACCATTTTGGAGATACGAAGTTTTGTTCCGACAGCAGCGAGATGTGTGTGTGTGTGTGTGTGTGTGTGTGTATGTATGTACATATATATAATGAAATAAAACGGTTCTTTTAAAGGAGGAATGAACACTTAGGTTCTGTATCACAAACATTGTTGCTGTGGCAACAAAACATTTTAACATAATTTAAATATATCAGCTGTTCTTTCATGATAAATATACCTGTAGAATAGGTCCGAAATTACTTGGCATAAAATCCTTTTACAGTAACTTACAGTGAAAGTTAAAAATACGTTTCCCTTCTACTGTAAAGTTGCCATTTTGGAGATACAAGTTTTTTTATTTTCACACTTTCATTTTTCAAGTCCCTGAGATGGAGACCTATTTATTGTTTTCAACAAACGTTTTTTCTATCTTTGTTTTATTTTTATGTATTTATTTTTTTAACTCTGTTCCTTTGCCCTCTCTGTCGTCCTATGGCTGCTCAGGTGTGTTTCATCTCATAGTTTGAGGCAAGGCCAGGTCAACCCTACTGTGTTCATCTCTCGTTTACTGATAAACACGCTGACAGCCAGTGGATTATTTGTCATCCAGAACATATAATCCCCTCAAGCATTCCAGTATTTGTCAGTACATCTCCCTCTTTCTGCTGCTGCCTCATGTGGGCTGACGGAGGGGTTTATTGTATCTATTTATTTATTTATTATGTGTGCTGATGTGCTGTTACTTTCCTTGCTCATTTTAACTTGACTTTTCTCTTTGTCTCTCTCTTTATTTCCATTTTCCTTTTTATCCATCTGCAGGTACACCAAACCAGCCCCCATGTTCCTCGATCCAAATTTTAAACGGCTAGCGAAGATAAGCAGTTACCCGCCTCCTTTCGGCATAAAAACACAAGGTATGGTTCTGGAGTCTGCTTCTGTTTCACGCTGCCAACACAGGAAAGAGCAGCTATCACGCTAACACACTATGCTTCTTTAGCACCATTTGGATTCAATTCAGATCATTAACGCTAATTTCTCATTAAGGTTAATTTTATTTCCTGTAATCTACTGTTCCCCTCACGAATGCTCTTGCAGCGCTGTACACCCAAATGCCTGAAAACAGTTTGCAGTAAGCTACTATCAGTATAACATTTGATGCAGTGTCTGGTATTATTTAAATCTACAGATCATAAGGAACCTCTTTCGTGCCTGCATAATATTGTGGAGTAGGTTTAGAGCCTAGAGGACATAAAATGTCCTAGTCCTGTTTCTTCACCCTCATGCTGTTCCTCTATGCTTCACAGCCAAAAGGCTGTCAGCACAGCTAATCTGCCTACTTCAACAGGACTGGGCCCATATGTGGACAAAACAGGACTTGAGAGTTAGCAAGGTTTCCAGTGACCTTTGTGCAAGAATTTACTTATTGCGGTTAAGAGCATTTACGCAATGTCATTTCCTGCGAAAGCTGTCATAATGTTTGCTTTATTACTCACATATTTCCATAAAGAAGTTCATAAATGTTGCAAATTGTGTTCATTTTTTTTTTCTTTAGCTTCAAAATGGACGTACAATACAGAGAATTGATTAATATTGGCCATAGAAGTGATGCAGTTGATCACATGATGCAGAAAGCTGCCCTTGTATGTACATATACAGTGACCTGCACTTCATTAACTACACATCTTTTTATCTACACTCAAGATAGATGTACTTAATGAAGTGGCTAGTCGGTGCAAAAGTTTTAAGCACCTGAGAAATTCAAAGTAGTATTAGAAAATTGTTTATCTATGCAGTAAATGTTTATTCGATCAGAAAAACATTAATGTTCGGATAAATAAAAAAAATATTAATATAATAAGTAGTCTATGTTCCTTTTGCCATTTCCAAGCCTCTCCTAGTGGAAGCCCAGGATTATTTGTAGTTGTCATCCAACATCTGCTTTGGCTAATCAGGGCTTCATTATGTTAAATCAAGTGTACTGGTGATGGAATTTGACAAATCTATGTGCTGGCTGGGAGATTTCAGGAGAAATCTGGAACCAAACTTTATTCTTCAAACTAACTTAAAAAAAGAAAAAACTTAAAGAAAAGGTTTTTTTTTTCTCAGACAAGAACACACTCACTGCTGAGATAAAAGGTTTTAAACAGTGCTTAGGTGCCTAAGACTTTTGCACAGTACTGTATATTCATCAAGAATTTATGTTGAAAGAAATGCATGCAATAAAATTTGTCTGTATATGCACACTTGCATTAGTTTTCCTACCAAACATTTTTTCTTAATAGTTTTTGTGCAACATTCCCAAAACATTTACTCTAGGCTGAACTAAATAAAAGTTGTCTACAGTATGGATATTTGTCAGTATCACTGAATATTGTCATTTTCATCAGTTACATCATCAAATGTTTTAAAGTTTCATTTACGTAAATTGCGTGAAACACCATAGATGGAAACCTGCCTATTGTCGTTTTGAGAAAGAAACAGGAGCAAGTTTTGCTGTTTCTGTGTTTGTTTTTTATGCTTCTGTTTTTTATGTATGTGCGTCCCTGTCACACACCTGGCTGCTCAGGTGTGTTTGGCTCTTTGGAGGGAGGGAGGAAATGGTTTCGAGCTGAAATTTTCATGAATGCCTAATAAATTCAGGTTCCATTCATTGATCAGACTTCAACGTGAGCACGTCAGAACTGAAGTTATTCAGCCGTTGTTGCTTCACTGGTTGCCCTGTGGCACTTAAAGGTGAAAGGACTAAAGTCCTTCAGTATGTTCATAGAAAAGTTTTGGTAATTCAGCGTACTAAATCATGTGCACTGATTTTCTTTACAGTGAGTGAGGATGTGTTAACTTATTTTATAACAAACATATAATGTGACTGGGGGTGTTCAAACTTTTTCATTCAATTGTATATCAAAAGGTACGAAACAGCCATTTAAACACACAACGCCATATGTGCACCTACATAATGTAGTATATTGTCCCCTAATAAGCTGTAAATTCCTTCTAAAGTTATATAAAATGCTGCCAAGATCAATAGACAGTTCAGAGCTGCTGGGAATCACTTTAATAATAGTAATAATGGTCAAGTTAACTCAGCAAAGTGTGTCCAGCACATCTGGAATTTTGGATCTTGGCCCAAATTTACACCCCACCAGACTATACAAAGTGACTAATGTAAATCTGACTTCCACTGTATGTCCACGGTTGTAAATCCTGACCATTAGGGGAAAGGTGTTGAACAGACACTGATCCCAAAGCTGTCTCCTGTCTCCGTGTCTGGGGTGTTAAAAACCCAGTTTATTCGTTCCATGTGTCTTTGAACTGATAAAGAATATCTAGCTGTTCATTGATGCATAACAATCCCAGTTTAAAGAAAGTTATATATTTCTTGTCAAATTAAAGATTTGAATCTTATTTCTAAAAACGTATTTTCCCATCGATTGACAAGACATTGACAGTTTATCATGTCCACGTACCTTGTAGCCACATGTATTGGCCGTTTTTAACAAAAATACCTGAATGCACTTTGTAGAGTTATGGTTGCAGACTGTAACACATCTGTTGCTGCACAATTTATCAGCCTCCTCCTTTACCCTTTTCATCAAAGGAAAGGGGCCACCATAGGACTACCACTGGCTATTTTGGTGGTCGACTATTATCAGCGCAACAGTCAGTATTGGTGACAAAGTGTCAGTGATAGTGGGTGCATGCAGATGTGAGTGTTGTATATTGGCCTATATATTTGAAATGACTATTTCTTTATTAAGTAGGCCTGTGCCGGCAAAACAGTCCTCTTTTTTGGGTAACTCACACAAATTTTAGCATCTAAGAGTTCATCTGAGGCCATTTGAAATAACCCACTTCGCCTGGTGGAAGATGAGACATGTCTTTGCTTATGTGTTTTTCAGGAGACCGAAGTAATTTCTGGTCTTAAACCAGACCCTGTAGTGTGAAAATATCCTAAAATATAGATCACACCATCCAGGCAACTTTTACTAGGTAATTTAATATTTTATTAATGCTGACTGTCACATCACCCAGTGTGAAGAAGTTCGGTTATGTTTACATGTAGGAATATTGCTGTGTTATTATGGTTTGCATAAAATAAATAAATAATTTTTTATTTTTACAGTGGTATCTCGTTTAACAACCACCAGGCACAGGCCTAGTATTGACTTGCAATCCCACTGACCTGAACATTTTGGGTGCTACTTACATTAAAACACTGCAGTAAAGTGTCAGCAAGTTCTTTTGTAGGTAGTTCTTCATACTTTAGTACCAGTGGGAAAAGTAAAATCTTTTTATTTATTTATTTTTATATGTATTATATTTAGTTATGATATTCATATCTGAAGATCAGAATCATGTCAGGCCCATCCTCCTTGCTCCAGATGCCCATACTAAAGAAATTCCATTTTGTTTGGAATTTGATTGGCATGCCTGACTGTTTAGGCATCCTATATTAAGATTTTTTTCCACTGTTTTTCTAGCTCAACACTGCAGTGTTATCTGTCCCCAGTATAATCAGTGAGGTATTCTCAGTCCTCATGCAATCGCCTGATTCTTGCCTGCTGACATGAACCCCTCAGTTCATTTAACTTTAAAGACCTTGATCTTCATACCCTCTTAAATAAAGCAATATGTCGCTCAAGGCCGTGTGTTACAATAATTTTCCACGGTTGATTAACCGTAACATGCAGCCTCGATTGGATCATTGCCTTTGTATAAAGTGGCTACAAAACACAATATGATTAAATACACCAGTATTCAATAAATAATGTTATTTATTATTAATAATAAACTGCTGGAAAGAACTGTTTATTATTAATAATAAGTTGAACACTAGGCTGTAGTTGCCACTCATGGTGGGCAGTATGGCATTCTTTTATCATTATCATGATATTCTGTAATTGTGATATTATTTTCTGAGCACATTGTGGACATCATCAGTACTTAAAGAACACTGACCAACAGCATGTTTTGTTACAAAGAGACCGTAATTAGGTGAATAAAAATCATTGTACCCAGTTTTGATGGCAGGCTTTTGAATGTACCGCTACTGTTGTGTTCTGTTGGTGTGTTAAAATATTGTGACATGCTTGAGGTCTTGTGAAATTGTCTCCAAAGTTGCCATTCATTTAGAGAAATTTCTGCAGTTTCATTGCATTTCAATGGATATAGAGAAAAGTTCAGAACAAAAAAAATATATATATTTTTTAGGTCTAAACCTTATTATCTTATTATTGGGTTTCTCTTTCTGTCCTTTACAAAAATGTCCTGGACCCTGATTCCTATCTCATCTTGCTGTTTGGCTCAGTGGAGAGGGCAGTCATCCCAGTCGAATCTGATTAAAGTCTGTGTATTTGTATGTGTGTTTATGGACTTGGTCAGTAATAGAACCGTGTATTTGGTGATGAGTTTTCCACTTGTTTCATGTAGCCATTCCTGTTTCCATTTTTAGTCACTGAACAGATGTCTGGAACATTAAAGTCCTTCATATTTTCCAAGAGAATTGTTAATTAAAGTGGAAGCAGTATGTCTCAGGGGAAATACAATTTACCAGTGACCTTTTTCCAGTTCAAATGGGGGAGGAAATGCAATTTCTTCAAAACATTTTTTTTTCCCAGATTTTTTTTACCTCCCAAAATGAAAAACCTGAACTTCAAAGTGTGTTCTGTAGAAATTGCTTTTCCTCCACATCTAACCTGAAAAGGTAGCCTAAGCAAGTGAAAGTATTATTACTTTAGTGAAATAACTGCATTGAAATGTCATAGTACATCCAGTTTCTATCAGCACAGGAACTGAAGTTTATTAGTCTCTGTTCTACTCTTTTTGGTTGCTGTTGATCTAAAATAAAATGTTAAAGCTCTAAAAAGCAAGGGGTCAGTAGTGACCGAGCAGTATAGACGCGGTCACCATCCTTACATAATTAAGTTAAATACAAAAATAGAATTAGTACCCCATTGTTCATTGCCTAAAGTGACATTCCTCGCTAATGTATTTGACGTAGAGCTGTTGTCATTTGAAAAAGATTTTTAAAAAATTATGAGCTATCACATTTTACTTGAGTACATGTAACTGAGTAGATTACTAGTTACAAACCACCTTTGGAAAAGGTCACTCGAAAATAGCTTTCAGTGCTTGTCTTAACATTTCTGTAGTCTATGTTACAGTAGTTTAATATGGTGTAGACAAAAATGAAAATTTAGAACATTCTGTTTGTCAAGTTCCGACTTTGTAACTGGGTGATGTTTATGGGAATGTTTGTTTATTTGTTAACTAGACAGCTAAAGTCATTTTTAGAATGTATGCTTTCAGAAGTTTTGATTGACTCCACTAGCGTTGTCTCTGGCTTGCGTCTAATGGTCTTGACTGCAAGAGCCCTGGACACATCGTACCTGAGGGCGCTTTCACACCTACCTCATTTAGTGCAGAGCTGTCAAACTTTCCCTTTAGTTCGGTTTGTTTTGACAGGTGTGAACACTACACCCGTACTCATGTATGCACCGACTAAAGCCGTGGGTCTCGCTTCTAAATGTAACCCTGGTCCAGTTCACCGCTGGTGGACATTTGGATGGTGCATGGTTGTGATGGTCTGCGCTGGTCTGATTGAACATCAGAGCATGTTTTTCTGCATCTTCTAGCAGCACGTCAGCACAGTATTGTCCTCATCTGCCTGTTTTAACATCTGACTCTTCATAGGTGCTCATAAGGGTGCTGCTGCTAATAATAGCAGACAAGCAACAAAATAATATCGAAGCAGTGCCTTTAGTTTTGGCACATGGATCGCAGAACCTATTGCATCAGCGACTTGATTGGTTAAATTCAGATTGATTAAGCAATGTAAAGAAGCAGATATCAAGTAAAGTTTATTATTGCTTTGATTGTGATATGCATAGATGTTAAGCATCTCTGTTTTTAATGCAGAATTTTTTTTTCTTAATTGTTAGCAAATGGTGAGAGTAACAGAGCACTTACATCTCTGCAATTTTTTTGACCAATAAACAAGTACTTGCGAGTATAATTTGGTGCCCTGTAGGTGTTGCAGTGTGAAACCAACCAAACCAAATGAAAAAGATAGTGTCACAAAAACCAAACTGTGGTTAGGGCTTAAGCAAACAAAGGTGTGATAGGTGTGAAAACACCCAAGTGAGTCAAGACAAAGTGATCCAGTCCAATCCAGGCCGTAACCAGACCAAAACCAGAAGTCTAAATATATTATTGTTTTATTGTCTAACTTTGAATTGTAACTTTTAGAAGCAATTGATGGTAAGATTATTCCTTCTAAGGCTTTTTCAGATTAACCACCTAAAGTCAAATGAATATAAATCAAACAACATACATCCATTTTTATTATTAAATGAAGACTTTATAAACACAAGTAATAGCATTCCAATTCGCCCCAGGGGATGAAATAAAAAATCAGATCCTCAACTAGCAACAGATTTGATTTAGAAATGGAGAGAGAGAAGCGTTTTGTTTTGTTTGAAGGTTTTGTTGATTTTCATTAACGATAGAAAAACAGTTCAGTTTTTAATTACCTCAGATGGAGGTATTGCACTTCCCCTGAAGTCCCTGAGACTGAGATAAGACAGTGTCAAAATGATGTAGGGACCAAGACCACTTATTTGCAGTCTCAAGACCGATAAGATGATTAATCATCAGCTAATTTCATGATCATGACAGACCTAGGCTTATCTACACAAATGCAAAATTGCGCCATAGAAATGTATGTGTTTTGTCATCACATACATTTTAAATATCTGTTCAAGGTGAAAGATTCACATTAAAATGTAGTAAACCTTGTATGATAATATCCCAAAAGATACTCCAAAGAGACAGAAATATGTAAACACAGAAGGGGGAAGAGAAGCTTTCTTGTAGATGTGTGCACGATGTTTCAAGTCTGTTCTCAGTAGTCTGATGGATTACCTGTGGCAGTGTATAAGTGGTTTAGAATTGACTTTGTTTTTTCCCATCATTTGAGAATGAGCAAGGAGCTTTCTTTGTTATCTACCATGGTGACATAATTTCAGTGCTAATTTGTGGGATGTAGTCTTCCATTACTTGTTAACTACATTAGCCTTATAGCTTAAGTACAAACAAAATTCAGACTCCAAGCATGTCTTGGCTGATTGGCTACATTTGATGTTGACTTAAACTGGACCATGCAAATGTTCTACAGGACTGGAGAAAAAGGACTTGTAACAGTGATTTGAGGAGTGTGTTCAGTGTTCTTAATGCTTATTGTTGTCTGCCTGCAGAAAAGATCATCGATGTTATTTTAGCCAAGACAAAGAACTATGGACTTGGACCTGAACTGGACAGGTACAAACCAACACATCAGCGTTTTGCACCTTGTTCTTTATAAGACTTGCTCAGTTCTTACTCAAAGAGAAGACAAACAGGAAGCCATGACTAGTGAAACTTGTACTCTTTGAAGGCCCTTATCATATCAGTACTGCCATATATAGACACTAAGCTGCAAATATAGTCCATATTGAAATTGAACACATTTATTGCTGCCCATTCAGCGTACAGCAGTTTAGCTCCACCCACACATATTGAGGTGATGCAGAGTGTTGTTCCTGCAGACAGGAACCAGATTGATCAATGCAGCCAACTAAAGGATCCATATATGTAAAAGAAGCTGCTGAAGCTAATTTTTCCCAGGTCCCTGAAGAATTCAGTCTGAATAGTGTATTCCCACTTTCAGAGCAGACTTCTTTGTGACTGTGGCAAAATACAGCACATCCAATCATAAGAGATTATTTACATATATCAAAAGGTACAGTAACATAAAACAGCCCAGGGTTGCAAAACTATCATTAAAATGAATTTTTAAAAATGTCTGTTTTGGTTATAAATATATAAAAACTATAGCCTTTAAAGACAGCACAGTTGTGTACATTCTCAAGCATCACCAGCTAACTTTACCTGCCAGTTTTGCTTGCTTATCATCCTGTTTGTGTCCTTTACAGTTTGAGTTGTAAAAGGTGTATTATCATTGGGAATGGAGGCATCCTCTCCAATAAATCCTTGGGCTCCAAAATTGATGAGTATGATGTGGTCATAAGGTATGTTATACATATTATTTTACATTACAGTTGAGTGCATCACCATATGAAATTAGTTATAATTTTTAATATATACTGTCAAATAACTTGAACATTTGTGACTATGTTAGCTTTGTTGCCCTTGAGGTATTTAACAGCTGTATGAGCTAAAAATAAACCTCATGCTCATTAGGCCAGAACTGTCGAATGCGTGGTAATATTGTCCTCATAAATGTTTTTAACTTGCTGCCTCACAGCAAGAAGGACCTTGGTTCAATTCCCTGCCCAGGTGACCAGGGAGTTCACATGTTTTTTTCCCCCCGTGTCTGTGTGGGATTCCTACGGGTGCTCCGGTTTCCTCCCACAGTCCAAAGACATGTGGTCTGGCGAACTTTTCGATACAGAAAATAAACACTAACGTAACTTATTTATTTATTGTGTTTCCCAGAATGTTTTATTCTTGTTCTTTTTTGGTTTGTTTTCTCCAAAAGTAGTCCTAAAAAGGCAACAGTGCTTGTTGAAGTCATTTTGTTTGAAGATATAAAATTGATAAACAATAATACAAACAAAAGTGCAATATCTATGTAAAAGTAAATGAAAAATTTAAACTGTAAGGTTACATCTCAATGTTAAATGTACTGAGCATTACAAGTTAATTTACAGTCTGATCTTACGTTTCTGTATAAAGTGTGGCTCTAACTTTCTAGCTGAAATGGGTGTAAAATTTTCTAACATGGCTCAATCACTCCCAGCAAGCTGCATAGCCCAGGACACTCTACAATGCAGATCGTAAGCTATAAACATACCTATGGAGATATGTTTCAGCTGTTGTGGGGAAAAGCCTGAAGTTGGCTTTCTGTTCACCAGCTTTATATTAAAATTTTCTGTTCCATTTTAATCTCCACTATACAGCTGTCGTAGCTGGAAATAACTGTTTTGGGTAGCCTCCCTTGGATGGTTGATTAGCCAAGCTGTTCAAAGTGCTTGAGCTGGAACAAGTGAAACCGTCCTCACATCTGTCTCTTGTTATCATGGATTGTGTCAAATAGAACTATAGAAATCATTCCTAGTAGTTCACATTTTATAGCACGAAACCTAACAGTATTTGGTTCCCAGTGCATGTAGTCTTGCAGTCCCTCAATCAGAAAAAAGAATGTTAACATGCATATTGTGATACCCCTAACATGCATCATTTTCAAAATATTCTGATCCTGTTTTCTCGAGGTAGGCAGTATGACAGTTATCAATATCTTGACAAATTACTTCCATGTTTTGCATGTCTAAGTATATCATGATTGTCATCACCTGCTTGTACCGGAAAGAAAAGGTTTATGTTTGCAAATTATTGGTTTGCAAGCCTCAGATAAATGGAAAAAGCATCATCCGTACCTTGCAAACAAAAGATCAACTCACGCTTGTGAGTTTATATGAGGAGAAATGAGAAGAATAAGAACAAGGATCATGTCACATAAGTACCATGATGTTCCAGTTTAATTTTTGTAATGTGTGTGTACAGGTTGAACGAAGCTCCCGTAAGTGGCTTTGAGAAGGACGTAGGCTCCAAGACCACCATGCGCATCACCTACCCAGAGGGAGCCATCCAGAAGCCTGAACGCTATGAGAAAACTTCACTATTCGTCTTCTCTGCCTTCAAACCGCTGGACTTCAGATGGCTCAGACAGATGGTGTTCAAGGAGAGACTTGTAAGTCAAGAATGTCCTGTCAGGTTCATGGAAGGGTGGGAGCTTTAGCTGAAGCACTGAGCTGAATCTCTACACTGTCATTCAGAAGTTTGGAATATACTTTAATGGTGTATTTACAGTCATTTTTGTGAAGTTATCTGCTTCAAGCTTTCTTCACCACTTTTGAAATAGAAAGGATTTTAAATATTAATTTGATATTAATTTTATTGCAGCTTCATACTCAACATTTCAGTCATTTTAGAATCATCTACAGCTCGCATCAAAATTTTATTTATTTATTCATATATTTAATGTTCTTAACAGCTTAGAAGTGATTTCAAATCTGTGAAGTTGAACCCAACTAGCATATTAGAATCATTTTGTACATTTTTCTGGGGCCAAACTGCTTGCAGGTTATATATTATTGAGTAAACTTTTCAACCTTTTGAATGTTTTTTTTGCACAACAGAACATCATCTGCATTTAAGACACAGATGTAAAATGTTAGACTTCAGTGAAAAGGGAGCGTGTTTAAAGTTACTCTTTGTCATCGTGGGCCATGTCAGCATGGGCTTTGATGGATATATACATCACAGTGCACTAATTCATGTTTACACCCCTATTACCTAAAACTAGCTGATGGTGGTGCTGGTAACAGTAGAGGGCAGCGTGCTGCTAGCACTGGAAGCTTTGGCATTAAAGACAAGGGATGAAATACCTCCTGGGAAATTCAGTTTTGGGATCCTTTAAGCCTTCGGCCGATGACTTAAGAATGTGAGGAATCCATTTAAATGTGATAATCCTTGAATAGCCCACAGCCAGTCATCATTAAAGAGACATGAGACATGTATTTGCACCCATGCTGTCTGAGTTATTACGTGTTATGCTCTCTTAGTACTGTCACAGTTGGCGTGTATAGTTCCAGTCTTGTTAATTCTTTCACGCAAACATTTGGGACAAGTGCCAGCATGCTTATAATAAAGCAATCATAGCTTCGTCATGAAGAGAATTTGCACTGAAACTGTCTGCAGGCTGTTTTGAGTAACAGTCCTCCAAGACTGGAGTTCATGTAACAACTCTGCCTGACAAAATCATTTTAAATAAATATTACTTTTCTTTGTCATTTTACAAAAACCTAAGGCTTTTTTTACAGTTCAGTTATTATAGTAGTTTCTGTTACTTCATGAATTATATAATTTTATGTCACCTATGAAATCGATTAGTAGAATTTATCCTTTTTTCCCTCATTTCCATTTTGTGTGCATGAGCATTATGTGAAACTTCTGTTCTGGTTTTACTTCATTTACAAACACAGAAGTGAGTTGTTGATATGAGGGATTGTCATGCAGGACTGCTGGCTCACAAGTAAAGCTGCATCAGAAACAGTATTTTTTCATACTTCTTTATAGTTGGGTGTTTAGCTGCCATGAGGTTTTCACACAGAGTTGATTTTTCCAGACTACTGAGAGACCAGAGGTCATTTGTTTTTCGAGCTAGTGATTTCTGGTGACAGGAGACAGCGCAAGCATAGGCAGAGTTGGCGACACGGCAAAGTTAAGCAAAGTTTAACTTCATGCAAATTAGGAGTAAAGCGATGTGGCGTTTACCAGTGAGAATTGAGCAGGGTGGTATGTGCTTTATCTCCACCACTGAAACGGTGTGCCCGATTTTCGTTCCTGGATATGGGTTCCTACTAGAGATGGAGGAACAGCGGCGGTGCTTTCACTGCAAATACACAGCAGGGATTGCAAAGACCAAACACTGCTGTTTTTTTTCACCTACTGCACAGACCTGATCCTCTACCCAGGGATTAAGGTTATAGACAAATGATTTCTCTGCAGGATTTTTATTTTTACCATGAATGCATCTGATTTGTGGTAAGAGCCAGGCTGGAAGGTGTCTGATTTGTGGTCAAATTAAATTTGTTTACGCTCTGTAGTCACTACCCAGCAAAGTACAGCGTGCTGCCATGACATTTGCATGGTGTGAGTAAAAGCATGGCAACCAACAGTCAACTTAAGTTCACGCCCACAAGTGATGAGCGACCAGTGATTTGAGTGACAAGCGGCAAAAAGTTACTGCTTATGTGAACACAGGGTCACAGTTTTGGCGTGAGTTTAATGATTTTGGGTCTTTTTTCACACTGTGCAAAGAAATCTTAAGCCAGCCAACTGACACACTCAACAAACATGCATCGCGACTGTTTCATGTTTCTGAATGATGACATCCGATTGGTTCATATAGTACCCTTTATAAGCCTAGACCAGCTCCAAAAATCTCTCTCTCTCTCTCGCTCTCGCTCTCACTCTCTCTGTGTGTTTCAAACTGGCAAACCCCTTTAACAATGGGCCAGTTTCCACTGGTTTTCCACCGTTATTGAGCAGCAAGTTACATTTATTAGCAGTTGCAATATGTTTCTCATATTAAAGATAACTTGCACTTATTAAATCCCTTTAAATTTTCATTTTAGATAGGCTTGCAGCTCATTAGAAGACAGACCTCCCATTGTATGGGCTCATCTACAAGCACATCACTGGTGAGATATCGTTGTTCCTGAATTCAGCTCAGTGCAGTTCATCCAAACTTTTAGAGTCTCAAGGGAATATTTTGATTACATTTGTGTAATTTCCATGTACACCTTGGCTTTTCTTTGAGAACTTTAGAGTATTTCGAGTATTTCCCGTGAAGCATCAGTGTTGTCAGGCACAGAACGGTTTGAGATTTTGCCACCGGCACCATGTCAGTAGAAAAGAGCTATCATTCACTCGTTACTTCAGTGCTAAATTATTTCTAAAACCCACACAAATCTATACTAATGGGAAAGTGCAAGACAAGCAAGTTAGTGCTTTATAAATGCAATTACAGTAAATACCTTTTAACAAGAATGGTAACACCTTTTGAACAAGACAGCCTTTATGCTTGATTAAAATTATGAACATCCGATGGTCTCTGGAGCTGCTCAAGGACTTGTTTAAGAACCATAGGTCCGCATACTAATGACTCTTGCTATGGTTCAAACTAGTGTTTTAAGCAGTGGAACAGTGGAAGTGTGCTTGTGCACACAAAATCTCACTCCAGTCTCACTCCAACCATGTGAAAATCTCACTCAAGTCAACCTCACCAAAGTTAGCAACCCTGGCACTGTGTGTGGAGGACTTGGAGGCTCTGCTTTAGCTCAGAGCATTGAGCTATGGACTATCGCACTGACAGTATTTGTTGAAAAATTTTTTTTTGTCCTCAAATCATTCAACCATATTTGATTTTTTGTTTGTTTGTTTTTTGTTATCTAAGACTTGTAAAAATGCCCTGTGGCCTTGCACAAAAAGAAAAATTGTTCTAGATATAGAATATGTAACTGCAAAAAAACAGTTTCTAACCAGTTTTAAAGAAACAAACAAACTTTTGACCAAAACATTGCCTTTTTTTCAATCTCCTTAACTTCTCTTCATTGTTTTCATTATTCAGATGTTCCTACACACATCGTAAGCACTATTGTTGTGTATTGAGAGGAAATCTATTGTGTTGCCTCTCTCTGCGATAAGGCTGGCTGTTAAGAAGAGTGTATGTCTGTGTAAAGGAGCTGTCTTTGTGTGGCAGCCAGTATTGCATTCCCTCAGGTGACTGACAGGTACTTAATGATGTGCTTAATCATCGGGGCTGAGAAGAATAATAGACTGCTTATCTCTGAGGGAGAGCTGTGCTTTGTTATTGAAGCAGCTTCTTGTGTTTGTTATCTGCTAATGCTAATCGAAATGGGTGCCCACACATCTGGCCTCTATTCTGTGGGTGAAGTGTCTTCCCATGGTGAAAGCCGACACTACTGCAGCGTTACTGCAGGCACGCCGGACACCCAAGGACACGGGCTGCATTATCTGAGCTTCTGGGATGCTACACTGTTATTAGACACTCTGTTTGATGAAGAACTGTGTAGTGTTTGTAATGCCACGCAGTTTAAGCATTTCACAGCTTAAATGCCATGGCAAAAAAAGCCATATGACTAAGTTCTGAGGACTTCAAAGTAGTCTTTTGGAATGTACTTGAAAGAATAGTGACACGTTAGATGTCTGAGGTTTCTTGTAGTTTTGTACTATAGCTACATGATGTTGCTAACAAGCAAGGAAAGCTTTTGACGATAAGTGCAAATAGCATGCTTAAATCTATACACAATTGCCACAGACTTGTTAAATAATCTGATATACCTGCATACGTTGTTTCTGACACTGAATGACATACTGTTGTCTATAAATTTGACTAAACTACAGTGCTGTGCAAAAGTCAGAGACCTTAATTTGGTTAAATATGGGGTAAAAACAGCCATCGAGTACAAGTTAGTAATTTTTCAGCACAACACAAAAAAGTAGAAATATATTTAACTAAAAATGACACAGAAAAACTAAATATGATTATTTTTAGTATATTTCTTCATGCTACTGCTGTATTACTGCTTTCATTCTTTTTGACTTGCTTTCAGGTTTTTTTTAAATATCTACAGGGATATTTTACCGCATCTCCAAAGTTCAGTCTTAGATGTTGGTTACATTTTCTGGTTCTCATGATCAAAGTAATCCCAAACACATTCAGTGATGTTGAGGTCTAGACTCTGCTGTGGTCCATCCATTGTTCTGAAAACACCGATAGCTTCATGGTTTGATTTTGCAAATTTGCTTCTTTTATGTCAATTTCCTTTTTACAGTAAGGGCTTCTTAACAGCTACACATCCTTTCAGACCCACAACGTTGAGTGGTCTTCTCACAGTGGAAGGATGGACAGAAACGCCTGTGGATTTTTCAGATCTGAGCCAAGAGTGGAGCTTGATTTTCTTCTATCTCTGAAAGATGAAAAGTACTGTTTATCTGATGGCGACAGTTTTGGTGGTCTACTAGGTGTTGCATAATTGTTTAAAGTCCCATTTTTCCTGTGGTTTTCTCTCCAGTGATCTCTGACTTTAGTACAATGCTGTGTGTTGCATAACTAAAAACTGTAGTAGCAGCCACCAGAATTTTCTCCAGTTTTTTTACATT